ACTTGTTTAATCGACAGAGAAATTGGCTGTCGAATATACTGATTATCGACTGCAGTATATTCGACAAAAAAAGTTGTCGAATATGTCTGTCGATTATACTTTAATTGACAGAAAATAATTCATATTTGACAGGTACCTCTGTCGAATATGCCGCGTTTTCCAGTAGTGATGATATAGTATTCTTTTTTATTGACGTTGATAGAAAAACAGTTTTTATTGATCCTTTTTATCTGATAAATGATGTAAATTAATAAGTGTTTTTTTTCTTTCATTCTTTTTGATACTAGACAAATTTTATTGATAAAATAACATAAATATAAGACCAATAGTACGACTGAATGACGGAATTTTTCTAAGTAAATTGCAAAAAACTATAGAGTAAAGTCTTTCCCCTCTTAGTGGTTGGATTTAAGCCACTTTGTTCTATCGTTTTTTTAGCAACTCTCACTATTCATTTTAAATAGAAGTTCTAATGATCTTATAAAAGAAAGCATGTGGAGTTAAATATAATAAATGAGTTTTTCAACTTATTACTTTTGGATTGTCAGTTGAATATCATTTATCAAATATTAGATTGACTAGTAACACATCACATATATTAAGCTTTGTGAACTAAGATAGAGGCATATAATTAAAAGAGTGGTTCTTAATTTTTCATATAATAAAAAGCCATAAAAGTGATAAATTTCTTAAAAATTTATTACTTTGAATTCTAGTTTTCTAATTTATGTTTCATTCTACTTTCAGCAATCACCAGAATTTCAAAGCAAAATTCAAGAATCATGCAGAAAGATGAGTGCAGAAAGTAGCAAGGCATTAAGAGAACTAGCCACAGCAATCAAAACGATGACAGAGCCATCCTCTGCCAGTCCTTACTTGGAGAATTCCAAATCTGCCATGAACCACCTTAAAACTGCTCTCAAAGATTTCTCATTGGAGAGTACTGATCTCCTAGCAATCTTACAGGCTGCCACAGTCGCTTCAATCCTTGTTGAGATCATTAAATGCATGGAAAAAATTTCGAAAGCAGTTCATGAACTCTCCAAGCTAGCACGTTTCAAGAATGCAGAACCTACCGTGTCATGCAAGAAACTGCATCAGCTGTTCATAAACCCAAGTTTTGAAGGTGATGGTAAACTTAACATGTTACCACGTCAGGAAAATAACGAGTCAATCACTAATTGACTGTGCCTCGCAGTGCAAATCAGTTGAGGAGGGAGCTGATTCCATTAACACCATCTTTCCACGCGTTCTGATAGAATTAATTAAAACTGTGACTTCTATTCATTTCTGTGATTAAATTAGGTTCTCTTTTTCTTTTGCTCTTTATCCAAACAAAGGGTTCATTAGAAGTCTATGGTTATGCTTCCATATATTTTTGGTCGCCTTAACCAATATGTTCCAGGAAAGTTCACATTCTGTCACTTATTCAACTGCTTTGCTTTTTAAAATGCTTGGATATATTGATGTCATTAAGCATGTTATTCATCTATCTTACTTGTATTTGAGAGGTGGTATCAATGTTTAGATACACTTTCATAGGATAAAGGAATGCTTTTTATATTATTCACTACTAGAAAACATAGTATATTTGACAGACAATACTGTCGATTATAG